CAGGGACAAACATGGGAGAACAACCATCATGCATTTCCTCTCAATCTTGCTTGGACCTTAACTCTATTCGAACCAGGGGCGGACTGGCCATTGGGAATACCGGGAGTTTTCCCGGTGGGCCGGCACCGAAGTGGGCCGGTCGGACAATTCACTAGCACCCAAACTCCCCCCCCCCCCGTTGACAATTGACTAGCGGTACCGAGTTGGGCCGGTCGGCCGGTCGAGTTTCCCGGGCCGATTTTTAGTCCCAGTCCGCCCCTGATTCGAGCTAAGGCTTCATTTTGATCTCAACTACACACCTGTCAAATTTTGTGAGTCTATTTTACATATTGGGGCTCTATCACTGTGATAATATCAGTCCACAGATATAATAACCACCTGTCAAAACAGCTTCTTTGTTGTATTTTCTGTGACAGATGATGAGTCCAGAAAGACATTTTGCCACAATAACACAGACTCAATATAATACCGATATAATACTAGTACATTTGAAATTGTCCAACTGAAGTTCACAAGCACATGTCTTGCATCATATTCTGGTTCCTAAATTGTCTTTTTAAACATCTACATTCAACCCTAACCCTAAAGAGTGGGATAGGAAGCGAACACAGACAAGGACGGACAATCATGCAGATACATAAATCACAGAACAAATAAAAAATGTGTAAACAAAGAAAGGCAAACCAAGGGCAGACAGAGAAGCAGACAGACAGGCAAACAGAGAAGCAGACAGACAGACAGACAGACAAACAGACACACAGAAAGACACGCAGACAGACGGAGACCCAGAGAGACGGGGCAGCACGTGAAACAGGTGGAGGAGACAGACATGTGTCGCCATGGTAACACTGAAACCAGTGAGTTAAGGAGAGAGAGAGAGAAAGAGAGGAGGTGGTGTGGAGAGGGGGGGGGGGGGGGTTAAGCAGGAGAGATATAGGAAGCATGCCATCCCCATGGTAACACAAACGGAGTGATCCTGAGAGAGGAGAAGTGAGGCAGACACACACACACACACACACACACACACACACACACACACACACACACACACACAGAAAACAACACAAAAGGCACATTAAGAAAGTGGGAAACCTGGTTCTTCATATCCCAGCATCCCTCCCTCCATCTCCCACCTCCGAGCACTTCATCTCCAGACTGATTTACATCACCGCGTTTACGTTGTGTGATGTGTTTATGAGATGCCTGAGCTCGCTTCTATGTGGCCAATTAGTGCCTCCACCATGTCATTTATGATTCTCAGACTTTGCCAGAGAGCTGCAGTTTTATCTCTGCGAGGAGGAAGGCATGTAGTTGTGGAAAAACCCTGACGGATGGTGTGAATTATTACAGCTTGCGGCATTATTCTGGGTTGGATGGCGTACAAGGCAATCTGTTGTCTTATCATGTGTGTGAGACAAGGCCAGATTCCAGGATCATGGCTGAGCCAATTCGGCAAAAACAATCACATTCAATTGAGATAAAGCCTCGGTGGAAATCATGGAGCTGGGAAACTTCCCCAGAACGCTTATCAGACGCTAGTAATTACTCTTCAGCAAACACGCCAGCAGATTTGCAACTATTGTACCACTTAATCAGAGCATTGTGAAAGCAAAAAGGCTCGCGGCAAATGAGTCAAGTTGCTTGACCTGAATGTGCTCCTGACTACAATGACGATTATTGCCAGAAAAAGAGTCACCAAACACAGCCTGTGGATTCACACTGAGAGCTGGTAGTAGCAGCACGGTTTCAATGAGCTCATTGAACAGAATATCATGGGAAACACAAAGCTAGCAGCTAATGGCTAACAAGCTACTCCAGTTGGCGCCAAACGCTTTCAAAGCTCATCAAGAGCAGCTGAGCTCAGATGGATATATAACTTTGAGTAGCTTTAAAATGCTTTTGCACAACACTATAAAAAGTGAAATGGTCACATCAGTATAGCTTTGCTTTTAGTTTTATTTATCAAATCATTTCAAACTCCATCAGTATTCAAATAGCTCGCATGCTCTTCAGAACACAGATTGCCACCGCAGGTATCATTGAAAATTCCCTCTTTCCCCGACGTATTTACCATTGTGTCGGGTCATTAATGCACATTCAACTCATAATTACTATATTTCCAACAGCACTTTAAGGCGGCATAATTGCAGAGTGCGGCAGATGGCTGTTGGCTAACTGGCTTGCAGTTACGCCTAATGGCTATTTGCTATCGGTGTAAAACAGGCTAATGGTTCGCTGGCCAGCAGCTATAGCTTAAAATAGACAGCTGTCCTGTGTGGGCTCAGCCAGATCTGAAATGACTATGTGCTCCTCATTATCTGCTGCGGTGAATCCACCACACAATGATTGTCCATAAAAGCAGAAAGAGAAAGTGATGAACATCTTTTCCTGTCAGATGTCAGAATGCACTGGAGCTTAATTCCAAAAGGTTAATTTATGCAGAAAAACTGGACCATGTTTACGACTAATTATAACGGTTGTCCTCTTGAAAAATAATTATCCTTGTGAATTTGAGTATAACAAATGTAAATCATTAGTGATTGTATGTGGCTGCTGTTCAAAGCCAGAGTACGTGATGTGTATAGGCTGCACAAAAGAAATTCATGTTGTTTTTGTCTGCAGTTTTATCTCCCAACTCAATGTATATTCCTTTTCGAACAAGGAGACTAATTACAAGGGATTAAATAATTGCACGGGGAATAGGAAATCTTTCTCAAAACCTTTTGTTCCAAACCCCATTAATTTCACCCTGCTCTGTCTGCTGTAAAGCGCTTTACTTTATGTGAGCAGAAGAAATCTACCAGATAGTTTCTGTGCTGTTAACAAAACAGCATCTTACGGAGGCAAAGGCGCCGAAAGAGTTCAGTGTAAAAGAATCAGATTCAATTTAAGTCTGAAAAGTCATGCACCCACACTCGAGCAACTTACAGAAGAACTCTACAGAGGAGGCTCTTTACTGTATGTCGGGAAAAGTTTGATGCAAGAACACTACATTTTTTATCATTTAAAAGAAAAAAATTTATTGGGCTCCTAGGGTGCTTTGCAAAAACTCACAACAAACGATGGTAAAAAGTAAAAGAAGTTTGAGTCGGTAGGAGGAAATATACAAGAGTAGCATTAATACACTCACAAAAGAAAGCACATTCTAGTAGAAGATCTGCATTTAGTTAGGTAGGTGACTAAATTAGATATACTGTACAATTCCAAAATGCACACATTTGAATGACTTCTGATTAACATTGTTGCTCTGCAATGCACTGCACAGTAGACATTCCTAGCTAATGGCTAAAGACACAATGACAGCAACAAAGCTGCAGGTACAGCCCAGAAAATAAAACACAGTCAACAAAAAACTACAGCCAAGACGCCAAACCAGGCCATGGGCGTAAAAAGTAGGGCAATACCCCCTTCCCTACTTTCTACCAAGCCCCTACCTCACTTCTCCAAACAAAGCCATCAATTGATCTCAGCTTCACTCAAGTTGTGTGACTGCATCTTGCATATTTTCGGTCCTATCAATGTGATAATATCTGTCCGAGGACATATAAACAATCTCAAATCTCAGCACTTTGGCCCGACCAAAAATCGCTTTTAAATGTGCTCTATAAATAAACCTTGATTTGATTTGATTTGATTTGAAAGTACTCAAAACCATTTGTAGTCGCCACTGGTAGGGGTCAAACACATCTTGCCATGATCAAAAGCATAGAGACTCAGAAAGTGAAACAATGCAAAACAATTTATTGAAATTGTCTCACTGAAGTTCAGGGACTGCATCCTATCCTTGACCCCATGTGGTCATTTCAATATTTTAGATCAATTTGTAGGGGTATAAAGCAAAGCTCTTCATTTTCTGGTCAATAGAGTGACTAAGAATTGAAGTGGAACATATCGAGGTGCTTTCAAAATGATAAAAAGCCAGTTAATGTGTTTCAAGCACACATCCAGTAGAGCTGAAAAGAGAGCAACAGTAGAGGACGTTGCTGAGGAGAAGGACCTTCCACCTTTCTGCTCAAACTTTTGTCTGTGCAGCTCTTACCAGGAGAAACAGACGGAAAATGAATGCATGGATTAGCATAAGTACACGATGTATACTTTGAAGTGTGAAGCGACTTATCCAAGCATGCTATTCAATATGCAGCAGTGCCAGAAGCAGAAAGATATACTAAAAGAACAAAGTCTTTTGAGCTTTCAATCATTCAGTGAATGGAGCGCAACACACATTGACAGCAAATGACGCACATCTCAACACAGGAACATCTATTTTTTAAGTTTTTTTTTGTGTGTCAGCCCACACACCTGTAGCGTCATCAACACCCACATCACCACTGAAGACTCATGTCACCCTATCAACATACGCTGGTACTATTTTCAAGCACTGACGCCCGTCGACGATCCAGCGATTTCATCGTCTTCAAGCACATCCATGTTACTGTAGCATGACTACTTCTACTATCTGTCTGCTTTGTGCAACATCCTTTTAAATGACTGTCCTGTGTGCCAGGGTCCCTTTATGTTTTCCCTTAAGTGGACTTCTATGTCTAAACTCATCTTCACCGTATAATATTCCCTAAACTGAAGAGTAAACATCAAGGCTCGAACTAGACGGACTTGTTCTTTAGGTAAAGAGCTACAACTCTCAGCCATGGTGGTTCTTTTCTAGATTAATCAATTAATCATTGTTTGTCTATAAAATGCAAAAAAATAGAAAATATGTCCATCAGTTTCTTTCACTCCAAGGTGGTGTCTTTAAATGTCTCGTTTGTCATTTTTAAACCCAAAGATATTCAGTTTATTTCTTAATATGATCATAATCTGACACAGAGGTTTACACATACAAGGAATTTGCCTGAAGCTTAAAACAGCCATTTTAAAATGAAAAATTACTTCTATTGTCGAAATAGTTGGTAATGATTTGTTCTCTCACTTGACTATGTGCTGCAGCTCCACTATGTTATGAAGCCTTGTACATTTCATATGTGCACACACGGTTTCTATACCATCAGTGTGTAGGATGAAAGATGTGAGCACTCTGCCCCCACACGACCCGTGTCGACTCTTATTCTGGATCACCATGTAGCTCCGGTGCTTTGGGGGAAACAGATGGAGGCCTCTGTGGTTGGAGCTGTCTGAACTCAGGGACTCCCAATCAATCGTCTCCCCCTCTCCCTGTCTCCCCGTCTGCTTCTCATTGCTCACTCGTCCTCTCCACACACTGATGGAGGTCAGGTGTGGTCAAGAGCTGAGAATGGACAATCAGGCTGCAGCCGTAGCAAATATTATCACTGGAGCTCATATGTCTCCCTCTCTGCTGGCTCCATACTCTACAGCCTTATTACCCTGCTCACTCTGTCTTTATCTCCTATTCACAGGGCTGCGGAGTACGGCTATTTGATATCTAAACTCGCAGTGTAGGGGATTACAACTACATGATGAATCCCAGTAATACTCGACTACTTTGGTGTAAAGGTCCCTGTTGCCGTCCTACTAGGTGATGGAGTTAAGTGTATAAGGTATGTCTCCTTGTTTTCAAACCTGCAGGTTGGTAAACCGTCCTTTAAGAATCTAGGAGCGCTTTGAATTGTCAGTAAATATCTGCAAACTCTATGCCTCCTGCTCATAAAATCACATTACCTTGTTTTCGTTTACTACACTTTTCACCATCTGTCTGAAACCAGAGCCAAGTCTGCTCTGATTGGTTAGCTGGTAGAAGCATGAGTGTGACATAGTGATGTGACTAGGGAGAGAAACTCCCTCTGGAGGGAACTTGGGATTTTAGCCTTTGCAGACCATTTACCTGTACACAAACCATAACACACAACAGGTGAGGGAAAACCCCAAAAGCATAATAGGAAAATACTTAAGGTTTTAATACTTAAAGGACAAAAGCCTCGGCTATCATTGGAAGCATTGTGTGGGTTGAAATCAGAGCTGAAACATGATCAGAGTGAACGTGGGTTGCATTTGGGAATAAAATATCACAGAAAAATGTTAGCCTTGTTCCAGACCTCTGTTTTGTGCCAGATGCATAGACAATTGACCAATCAGAGCTTTGTGGAGGAACTAAGAATGGGAATATCATACTGTAGGTGGCTAGGAAGCTTCAACCATGACAACTAGCGACACAAAAAATGCCTCAAATATGTCATGAATCAACATCGCTGCACTGGACAATGTCAGTAAATTACAGAACGTATTCAATCACCATAATTCTCCAGTCTTATATTAAATGTACCTGCTCCTACAGCCCTTTTCACTATTGACTTATTTTAAGAGGAACCATTTGTTTTTACGGCGGCTCATTATTTGAACTGAATATGTGACCAGGACGGTTTAATAACCATCGAAGGTCTGGAGGCGCTCCCACTGACAGTCACCCCACATTGTTTACGCAGAAAATAAACAAGACTTTACAACCTGAACCCTGGCCGTGCCAAGCATCTCCTCCCATTTCCACGTAATGTAATGACTTTCACCAATGAGTAATGAGTAATTAATTAAATCTTTTAATTTAATCTGCCCCTCACTGCCCAATCACCCTTTACCCGCTGCAGTGCTGTAAATTCACTTTGCTTATCTCACATTTCCTTCCTATATGTAATTTTTTCTTTTAAAAAAAAAAAAGTTTCTTCAAGTCCTTTTTCTCCCTCTTCCTCCGTTGCTATGGTAACCTCTCTCTCTCTTTCTCTCTCTCTCTCTCTCTTCCTCTCCCCACTTTCCCCTCACACACTCTCTCCAGAGGCTGGTTGCATGGTTGCTATAGAAACAGACTTATTTAAAAAGAAGAGCTAAGAAATTATCTTTTTCTCCCGCTTCCTCTCTCTTTTTCTCCCTCCCTCCCCCTCTTCCTCACTTTGCCTCAATCACAAGCGAGCAGACCTACTCTTTTATTTTCCTTTGGCCCTCGCCGTACATTGTGGATTAGCACACACACACAGACACAAATACACAAGCACACACACACAGATACACACACAAGCACACACACACCTACAATCTCTCCCTTTCTTCGTCTCTCTGAGCTAAGAAGAGAAAACCCCTCCCACCTCAAACATACACACACACACACACACACACACGCACGCACACACACACACACACACACACACACACACACACACACACACACACACACACACACACACACACAGTGTCTTTTGTTTCTTGAAGTACTTACAAAATAGACGCACACTTGCTTTCTGTCTTTTTCCTCGTTCACACACAAACGCAAAATAGACACACACTTTCTTCCCACGACAACTCTTCCTCACCGACACAAACACACACATTGAAGTATTTTCCTGAAGTACTTAAAAAATAGATACTTTCTTTCCATGACACACACACACACACATTCTTTTCACCCTCTGTCTGAAACCAGAGCCCAGTCTGCTCTGATTTGGTTAGCTGGCCGGCTCTGTTGTGATTGGTCAACCGCTAAGAGATGTCCTGCATCTTGGCCTATGACGTACAATGTGTTGGAGCGCTAGCCAATAGAAGCGTGAGTTTTACATAGTGATGTCACTAGGGAGAGAAACGCCTTTGGATATTAGCCTTTGCAGACCATGTACATGCTCACAAACCATAACACACTACAGGAAAGGGAAACCCCGAAAAAGCATAATAGGGCCCCTTTAACCTAAAACCAATTCCTTTGATCTAATAATTGACCTTTTAAGTTCCTGGTGTTTTCACCTAAATGGACTTGATATTGTGACTGTACTGTATTTATGTCTTTCCAACATCACATTCTGCAGACATCATGTTTTTTGGTAAACGTATTGTCATCTTCTTTTTTAATATCCTGTTATTTCACATTCACACTGTCACACTGTCAGACACTTGAAATATGACACACCATTGTTGTTGTTATTATTATTTACACCTGTGTGAATAAAACCTGCTGTGAAAAAGGCTTATTAACAACCACACACTGCAAGGTGCAGCTATGCCAAAAACAAAAAGAGTTACAGTGTATCAAAAAACACACTCATTTCCTTTCCAACACAAATCTCAGTCTGACATGATCTCCAGCGGTGACGCTATAACTTCATTCACCGTCACGGACAGGAGAGAGCAGCGTGACGTCACTGTCTCCCTGAGCGCTGGGAGCTTATCTCCGCTGCACCCGGCATATCAGGCTTCACCGAGGGGAGATAGTGTCACCCCTACACACACACACACACACCACCCCCTGCACACACCACCACCTCCAAAACCCTGCTCTCGCTTCTCCTCGCCTCATCGAGCCTCGCCACGCCGAGCGGAGCCCGGGGTGTTATCAGTTCCTGATAGTTATCGACTTACATTAAAACATAAGAGGGGAGAGAGGGGGAGCAGATAGACAGACAGAGGGAGGATGCAAACGCAAACAGAGTGGGTGGTGATGGATACCAGCTTTCATCATCTAATCATGTTGTCCATCTCCATCTTTAAATCGCTGCTGCTCCTTTTATCACAGTTTAACATCCACCAAAGGAATATAAATAAAGGGGATGGGGATACATTGAGACTTCAAAAAAGAAAAAGTTGGTCGTGGAGCCCACGCAATAAAATCATTTAGTTACACAAGTTCAGTTTCTGATAAGGGAAATAAGTTTGGGAAAGCCTCCGTGGGAAAGATTGGAAGGCGCTAAATGTTAAATTAAGTGAAAGTGGAGCCAGTGGATAGTGGGTCTGTAGCGTGTGAAAAATTAGGATTATAATCGTCACACATTGGATTTTTTGGAAGAGAACGTATTAAATATATGACAAACTTTTCATTTAACAGCAGCTTTAGCTTGAGTAAGATATGTCATCTTAATAGAATTAGTAAGTGTCTGCTAAGACGAAGAGGAAAGGAATGGATTGAAATACATACGTATATCTGGCTTCACATAGTTCAGTATCAAACTATAGTATACGTCAACACTCCTCAAGAAACTCTAGGAATGTTTGTATTTTACTCATGTTAGCACACATATCAGGTAGTGAAGAGGGTAATGACGCACTAATAATGTACGTTTAAAATGAGTATGCAGCTTTTTGGCCTAAATGGAAGCACTTTCTGAACATTAAAGCATGTAAACATTTCACAGTAGAGGCACTAAATAGTAATATGAACCTGAACATGAGCTTAGTATAGGTCCCCTTTAACCATCAAGTGGTGTGTTAGCTTGACAATGATACAAAAAAAACATGTTGGCAACTCTGTATTACACATATGTTTATCTGCCCATATTACCTCATTTTAGTACCAACACAATACCTGGCTTTTGTGTTTTCCTGCGAACAATCAAATTAGCCCAAAAGAACATTAAAACATATCTACAGTAAGTAGAAGAAGCCATACAAGAGCTTTCCATCTATGATCTGTCTGCCAACTATTTGAATCAGATGAAAAACCACCTGATGGAATACCAGAAAAAACGATATTACTAATCTGACCCGATATTAATGATGGTGCAGTGACGTGGCACGGGTAACGTCCATTGATTAAAACGTTTCACTGAAAGCATTGCGTCCAAAACAAAGCCAAAATAGTCAATTGTCATATTTGATTAACAGTCACTCAAGCAATCACTTAATTGTGGGACACATTACAGTGTTACATAATATATGGGATAAGTGCAGACACACACACACACACACACACACACACACACACACACACACACACACACACACACACACACACACACACACACACACACACACACACACACACACACACACACACACACACACACACACACACACACACACACTCACACATCGATATTGAGCAGCATGCATAATCCAGGGCCAAAGACAAAAAGGGGAAACCTTGTGATGGGGATCTTGTAATGGATCAGATTGATTTAATTCACAGCGCCGGACAATTTCTCATTCTTAATCCTCAAGATGTCTCTGAATGGATTTTATGTGGGAGGCCCATTCAATTGTTCTCTCTCACCTCCACACACGAGGCTCTCAGACGGCGAGCGAGCGAGAGAAACCAGGCAGACAAAGAAACAGAGAGGGAGGCAGAGGGAGAGAAACATAAACTACCTCCACACTCAGCTTATTTGATCTCGCAGCCCTTTTTGTTGACATTTTTCCTCGTACAAAAGCCAGGCACTTTCATGCTCTTGCTGCTTCTATGCTTGCATTTCTTTGAAAGCTTCTCCTTGGAGAGGATGGCCTGCTTGGTTTTTCTTACTCCTCTTCCAAAAAAGCTGAGAAGGGTCACTCCTGGTCTTTTATCACTATTATTGAATACTCATGCCGAGAAAGGCCCACTTTATTTATCCTGGGAGATGAGGACTCTGTCGGGGGCGGAGCTTTGTGCATCGCAGCGTGCTGCTCGGACCGGCTGTGAAATATGTTGGAAATGCCTGGAAAAACTCCGGGGCTCTGCGCTCCCAGGAGAGTCCCATCTATAATAGGCCTGGCTGCAGACCCTCTCCACACATAAATCTCTGCTCCTCGACTCCTGCTGCTCCTTTCTGCTTTCTTCTCCTGCTCATCCTCCATTTCAACTGTCCTTCACTCCTCTGCCCTCTTCTTCCTGTAAATGTATTCTGATTATCACTATCTTCTCTTCTCGCTTTCCCTTTGCTCCAACACTTCCCAAACGTAAATCTGAGCTTCCTAACCCTGTTCCTTTAATCCCCATTCTTTTCTGTCTTCCAGTCTTTCCTCCATCGTTCTCTGCCGTGCGCGTTCCTCTCCCCGCCTTGTGCTTTCTCCACCATTTATTTCCCCTTTCCTTCCCCTCTTGCTTCCATCTGTCTCCACACCTTCTCTGCCCATCCATCTCCTCTTCGCTGCCCTCCTTTTTCCTCATCTTCCCTCTTGCTCCCCCCGAAAATATTCTACACCCCCCTCATCCACTCCTTCCTCAGCAAACCCAGCTTTTCTACCACTCATTTCCCCTCTTCCAAATATCCCTCTTTTCCCTAAGTATTTTCTCCTTCCTCATCTACTCCCCTGTTCCTCCTACTCTTCTTCACTCTTCCTCCATTTCCGTGCTGCATTCCTCCGGTAGCTTCTGAATCATCCTGTGTCCTTTTTCTTCTTCTCTTCCTCTATTAATGTGTCCCTCCTCTGAGCCCCCACACACATCTGCTACTGTGCTTTCCTCCTACCCCCCATACCTCTCTTTACCTTCTCTCATTCCCTCCTATCATTATCTCCTCATCCTTCACTCTTGTTACCTCCTCCACAATTCCTGTTGTCTCGCACTCCTAAGTATTTTCATTTACACCCCTCCTTTGATTACTTCTTCACTTCCTCTTGTACCCCTCGGCTGTCCTCCTTCCACCTGAACTTCTCTCTATCACGCAACCATCTGACCTTATTTACACTTCTGCACCTCCCTCCTGTGTTTCGTCTGTCCTCTTTCCATTGATGTTTCCTTTCCTTCTCTCTTCCTCCACCCCTCTAACCCTTTCTTCTGCCCTCTTACTTGAATTCCCCTCCTGATTATCTTTTCTTCTTCTCATTCTTCTCCCCACCATTCCTTTCCCTCATCTATCTTAACTTTCCTTCTATTTTAGTCCTCTGCATGTCCCCTCCGCCTCCCTACTCTCTCTCCCTCATTCAGTCTGACACATCAGCCAGATTGACGTGTGTCAGTCTTAATGCCAGGCGACGCTCTGTGTTAGGATGTATCCTCGTTGGCCTCTCACTCCCATGCTCACACACACACAAACACACACATCAGAGAGAGAGAATGGGGAAGTCGCCGTAGTCGCTTTAGCAGATTATCGGATCATTGTGGGTCGCTAATTGGGCCGGTTATTTTATTTATTTATTTTTAATTGCCGTTGCGTGTCGCCTCAGATTACGACTGCTTCGACATAAGGATATCAGATCTGTCAGGTACTGGAGGGCTTTGGGATGAGGCCCACACACACACACACACACGAACACACACACTCTTATCGCTGGCCGTTGTTGTTGTCTGAACCTCCACTGTGCTCTTAAACAAGGCATGTCAAGCCATTTTAATCATCTTCATTTGAGTGTTCAGCGCTTTTTATTGAAGTGGATTTTTTTTTTCTCGCCACCCAATTAGAGCAACAGAGTCGGTCAACCTTTTATGTTTGCTTTTATGGCACGATCAGTACAGTATGGCACTAATGGCCAAGGTTGGAGATTTGATTCATCCTGAGGTCGCTCATGCAGGAAATGCTCATCAGTGGTGCTTCAGATGATAAAAACCCACGAGAAGACAAACGTGTTCAGCTGCTTTGTGTATTGAACAACAGCGATAGTACAACGTGAATTGTCGGGGCCTTGATTCAGATTGTTTGTGATTTGTTGACCACAAAGTCATTCCATCACATCTGGTCTAGAGACACAACTTTTGAATCATGCATTTAAAAGCAGGACAATGCTCTGGGGCCCTCCTTCTTTCAGGGGACCCCGAAGCAAGATTTCACTTTGCGTTTTCCTTTTAGTCACTAAATTATCCACACATTTGTTTTGAAAAATCCAAGAATCCATCATCTAAAGTTGAGCAGGTCCTGCATTGTGATGTTCTCTTGACTTCTCAGTATACACTGTAGGCGCTAAGAAACCAAAAAACGTGTTGAATTCAAGGGGCTGACATGTTGTTCCTGGAAGCAATGCAACAAATCATTATCCGAGAATCCTTGTAATTAAAGTACTTGATCCATAAGTTTGAAAACAGCAAAACACTGCACAGTGGTTTATTATAGTATAGGTAATGATTGTACTCTATTAGAACATTAACATTTACGGCCTGTCCACACAGCAGCGTTAAAAAATCTTCTAACGCTTCTGCCCATTCACTTTGAATGGGGTGACGTCACTTTGCCTCACTTTTCGCCGAACTGCATTGTGGGCAGCAGAGCGGAGATTTTCACGATTTTCAGGATTCAAAGTTGAGCAATGTTCAACTTTTTGAAGCTGAGGTGGAAGCGTCAGCCAATCAAATCCCGTTGTATGCAATCTGACAGTTCAAGTGATAGCCAATCAACGGTGTGTATGCTGGGAGAGACATACCGCAGGTCCTTTCCTCATATTCCAAAAAATGGAGGAGAAATTAGCGGTAGGGAATCACCCGGTGCTTTATGACCAGTCCCTATTTACCTACCGGGATACAAACCGGAGGAGCCAGGCATGGAGGGATTGGTGGCAGAGACAGTGGTAGGTTTTCGCCTGTTTGGGGAGTTTATATCCAGTTTACTTCGGGCTTTTTTTGCTTCGTATGTCGGGGGCGGGAGATTCATGTGATTGATTGTTGGTGGCCTTGCTCGCCAAAAAATCCCCCAAGCTTCAGATACGCCACCTCCAAGCATTTTTTTTAACGCTGCTGTGTGGACGGGGCCGTTACTTTTGTCACAATGATCACGAGGAAAGTCATAAGAAAGAAATAATGTATTCACGTAACAAAATAAGCTACCTTTTGCTTGGATTTATTGTTGTGATTGCTACTGCTACGTCGATGTGTGACTTTATAAGAGGGCAGTGTTTTTTGATGCAGGGCTACTTTGGGTCTGAACCTGACTTTAAAGAAGGGCTCTGTTTAAAACATTAGTGCACAAAAAGTAGATTACGCTCCAATGGCTCATATCAGTTTAATTTGTCGACCTAAAATCCCAAGGGAGCATACACGATGCACAAAGAGCCGTGTTGTGTTGGGAGGTGGAGGAGGTGGAGGAGGAGGAGGGTGTCGACAAGGGGGCAACTTTTCTGCCCTGGGCCAGACACCGGGTTACTAAACCCATGCAACAGTGGGTTAGCCCCGCAAAACTGCTGAATTAGTTGGAAATGTTTATAATTACTCGTATGAAACTAATGTGTCTAAAACTAAAAATAAGTATTTCTGTTCAAAAAGCTCTTTATTTTTCTCATACTGACCTGTGCTGCAGCACCCTCTGTTCACCCTCTGTCTGAAACCAGAGCCCAGTCTGCTCTGATTGGTCAGCTGGCCGTCTCTGTTGTGATTAGTCAACCGCTTAGAGATGTCACCGCTCCTTAGCCTATCACGTACAATGTGTCGGAGCGCTAGCCAATAGAAGTGCGAGTGTTACTTAGTGACGTCACTATGTTATAAAAGTAAACAAAGGACACCAAAGGAGGCGTTTCATGCAGAGAAACCCCTTCAGGAGGGAACTTTGGGATTTTAGCCTTTGCAGACCATTTACATGCACACAAAAACCACACCACATGAAAGGTAAAAACACCAAAAAGACAGCAGTTAGGCAAGTTTGCAGCAATTGAGTGTAACTGAAGTCTTGCGGTCATGCAAGTCAAAGTATATCTGGCTGCAAAGTCAAAGGCAACTTGCATTACATCATGAAATGAATTAGAAGTGACACGTTTTCAAGAATTTTAAAGGAAATTCCAGTTTTTTGTGACGTAGCAGTTCTAGAAACATCGTAACAGATTTCCTGAGGAACCCCTCAATGCCCCCGGAGCCCATTTTGGTGTAAACCTGTGCTGATGTAATCCATCAAACATTGATGGTCCAGCTGGGTTTCCATTAAAGAAAAGAATCCAAGACAACAGGGCCTCCTCTCTCCCTCTCCCCCCCTCTCCCTCTCTCCATGTCCCTCTCTCGTTCTCTCTCTTGCTTCCTAAGCGCCCTTGCTCTGTTTATCCTCAAACATCCCCTCTTGTCAACAGATTAGGCCTGAACCCCGCTGTCTCTTCCTTTCTTCGTCTCTCTCTGCCTCCATCTCTCTGTCTTTTGGCCTGTCCTCTTTACATCTGCGCCTCTGCTCTATTCTTGTGACGGGAGAAAAGAGTGGGAGGAGGCGGCGGGGGGGAGAAAGGGAAGAAAAGAAAGTCTGTGTGTGTGTGTGTGAAGGAGAGAGAGACGGGACAGGTGCTTGCAGTGCAGGAATTCTCTTGCTTGCTTGTGCTTGCATGATCAGGCTGCAAAAATGTTCAGCTCGAAGCAGAAGTGCTGTTCAAGAATCGACTCGGAGAAACGGTCGTTCTCGCATGTGGCAGAGCAGCGCTGGCAGGTCGACTATACAAATGTAATCCATTACAAATACTATAGTTACAATGTACAACAATATAATCACTAACATGATCTAAGTAACACAATATAACGGTAATATAATCTGATTACTTTCCGTGACTTTTGGATTACCTCAATATTCAAGGCAAAGCAAATCAATACAAGAGGAAAGAAATATCAATACGATGCTTTTTTTGTGTGTTATGTAAGTCAACACAACAATGTGTCATCCTAAATCTACCTATAATATCTAAGTCTACCCATAATATATATAGATATCTTTATTTTAAAACTTTGTAACCCTTTTTTCAGTATCCTGATTACGTAATATTGTTACATGTAATCCGTTACTCCCAAAGCCTGGCTGGCAGCACAGTGTCAAATCACACAACACACACACACACACACACACACACACACACACCCACACACACACACACACACACACACACACACATTTACACATAAGAGAGGCTGGGTGCTAATTACAGAGGCCTGCAGACGTGCGGTCGACCTCACAGAGACGTAGTGGGCCAGTGATGGAGAGGACTGAGCAGTAAATCAGGCTCTGAGAGGAGAGGCTGTCAGCGGGCAGAGACACCTGGACGTCTCAGACAGGACGAAACACCTCGGGCTGCTGCATGTAGCGCACTGAGTTTATACCAATGTTAGGATTGTTTTAGTTATTTTACAGATGTCTACATATCTGTCATTGTCTTGGCTTTGCCCGCTGGTTTAAGTGGGCAGGGACACCATTGGAGTAACATTAGGTCATGTAGTGTATGGCCATGGCCCCACAATGTATTATTAATGATATGTGTGATATCTTGTATATCGCTATTTGG